GTTGAATGAGTGGAGTCGGACGAGGAGAGAACAATTGAGTCGGTGAAGAGAGCCCTTGGTAAGGACTTTCGGGCGGCTGCTCTTGTACTTCTCGGCGACAAAAAAGAACCGGGAGAAGGTGATCTACAAGACAAGGAGTTTCCATTAAACTTAAAACACATAAACCCTCTTAACGCCTCACAATGCTCGGTTTTGAGACGGTGACAACTTGCTTAAACATACATTAAATTTATCAGTGGTTTCAGTTGGAGAATGTGGAGAAACAGTTACCAAATGAGAACATATTAATGCTTCTTCAAGAATCCTGTCGAAACTGTGAGTGCACTCTGCCAAAAGTGCGATCGCGCCAGATAAGATCGAAGACGAGTTCATAAAATATCCATGGCCTGCAAAGATGGGCAAAGTAATTGGTCCGTGCTTTAAAAAAAATATACCGGGATGGTTGAAAGACCCGCCCGGCCTGTCTACTGGAGCGACAAAAGACGCCGGACGGTGGAATGATCTTCATCGCAGCAGCGCGCAAAACACGCAATTCCTTGAGTCTGAAGAATAAAAGGCTGCAGGAAACTAGCAAAAGTGCTACCAGGGAGAATTTTATGTCTTACAAAACGACCACCCCATAAAACGCTACGGCGCCAGCGGACGGTATCGTAATATAACAGTTAAAAGGCATAAAGTAGATAGATAGGCTACTAGGATCCCGTCTGGACACAAATCCCCCCCCCACCTAGATCAACTGGAAGTTACTTTGCTTTATAGTAGGACGGCTACCGGAAATGGCGCACCGCAAATTCAGTTCGCTGGCACGGTCGACTAAAAAATAAGGTCTTATGCTTGCAATGGAGAGGACAGTTAATATCGTTTACTGGCGTTTTTGAACTTTTCCCCAATCAGACAATCCAAGTCTGAAATTATAGCATTGAGGTGACATTACTGATAAGTCTGTTAGCTTGGATTGTGGTCGCGAAACCCGATTCCAAGAAACAAGGGGATGTATTGATCAAATTTTCATTCTTCGAGACCTCTCAATTTGCGCTTGTCCCGTCAGGCGAAACATTAGTTAAAATGAGAAATGGCGGACCCAACGACCTGACCACTTAGATCCGGACCCATTATCAGCCGATTCAGGTCCGGGTTCTGTCATAAAAAAATTTGAAACTTCTCGCGGTCAGATATAGTCGGTCAGTTTTAACTCCTCGATCAATTGCATAGTTAATAGACTCCTGTGGCATTTTTATAGGTAACTTGTTAAAAGGCCCCAGGCTCATCCACTTTGACCAAAAAATGACAATACACTTCTGTTTTCTAATTAAAAAGACTGGCGGCGAGCCACCGGCGCGATATGTTCGGGGTTTAAATCTAGTAACCAAACAGTCAACTTCTGAAAGACGCGATTTTGGGGC